AGGGAGAGGAGAGAGGCAGAGCAGAGAGAGAGAGAAGAGGAGAGAGAGAGAGAGAGAGAGAGAGGAGAGAGATAGAGAGAGAGAGCAGAGACGAGAGACGAGAGAAGAGGAGGAGAGAGAGCAGAGAGAGACGAGAGAGGAGAGAGAGCAGAGAGAGAGAGCAGAGAGAGAGAGAGAGAGAGAAGAGAGCGGGACGAGAGCCAGGAGAGAGAGGAGAGGGGGGTGAGAGAGAGAGAGAGAGAGAGACAGAGAGAAAGAGAGAGACTCAGAGCGAGGACGAGAGATGACGAGGAGAGATGGAGAGAGACGGAGAGATCAGAGCGACAGAGAGAGGAGGACTCATAGAAGAGAGAGGAGAGAGAGAGAAGGAGAGAGAGTGGAGACGGAGAGGAAGTGAGAGAGCAGCGGGGAGAGAGAGAGAGTATGAAGAGAGAGACTCAGAGGGAGAGGAGAGGAGAAGAGGAACTTCAGAGAGGAGGAGAGAGAAGAGAGTGAGAAGAGGACTCAGAGAGAGAGAGAGAGAGAGATGAGAGAGAGAGAGAGAGCGGCGAGCGGAGGAGAGAGGAGAGAGAGAGAGAGAGACCGGGAGAGAGAGAGGAGAGAGGAGCAGATGAGAGACGAGAGAAGAGGTTCAGAGAGAGGAGACCTCAGAGAGAGAGAGAGAGAGAGGAGATGAGACTCAGAGAGAGGAGGACTTCAGAGAGGAGCCAAGAGAGAGACGTAGAGAGAGGAGGAGAGGAGAAGAGAAGGAGAGGAGAGGAGAGAGAGGAGAGGAAGAGGAGAGTGAGAGGAGAGGAGCGGAGAGGGAGAGGGAGGAGGAGAGGAGAGGAGAGGAGAGGAGAGAGGAGAGGGAGGAGAGGACGAGGGCAGAGTGAGAGGAGAGCGAGAGGACGCCAGCGAGAGGACGAAGGAGAGGAAGAGGAGGAGGGAGGAGAAAGGAGAGGATGAGGAGAGGAGAGAGAGGAGAGGAGAGAAGAGGGGGAGAGAAGGGGAGAGGAGGGAGAAGGAGAGGAGAGGAGAGCGAGTAGGAGCAGGAGAGGCAGACGGGAGAGGAGAGACGAGGAGAAGGAGCGAGGACGAGGAGAGGAGACGGAGAGGAGAGGAGTAGGAGAGGAGCCAGGAGAGATCGAGGACGCAGGGAGAGGAGAGGAGGAGGCAGAGGCGAGAGAGGAGAGGAGAAGAGAGGAGAGGAGAGGAGCAGGAGAGGAGAGGAGAGAGGAGAGGACGAGGAGAGGAAGAGGAGAGGAAGAGGAGCGATGGAGAGGAGAGATAGAGCCGAGCCAGGACGAGGCACGAGGCAGAGGAGAGCGAAGAGGAGCAGAGGAGGAGAGCGAGAGAGCGAGAGAGAGGAGAGAGAGAGAGAGAGAGAGAGAGAATAAGAATCTTCTACCTGTATCCCGTACCATTATTGATTAGTTGAGATTTATTTATGAGCCGGCTGTTGTACATGACGTTAATTGATCACTCTTACGTGTCTAATTACGAGTGGCAGACGATTTTTAGAGGCACTAGCAACAATGCAAGTGCAAGCATTTTTTTTCGAAATTGGCTTTTAAGTAGTAGTTAAGTATCAGGCTGGAAGTTAACGATTGTATTTCGTCTTGAACTGAACATGGGAGGAAATCAGAGATTTTCTATCACTGCAATGCATGCATGCATTGAAGCTCAGTAGATTAGAATCAAATGGTAGCGCACGGTGGTTCATCCAGGGATCTGAATGTAGTCGAAGTGTGAGGATAAGATATTTATCTTTTGCCGAATAGACAGGGGGTTTTCTCATGTAGTAAAATATTGATGGAATCTGATAGAACCCAAAAATTTACGTTCTGACAATCTTACTTTCTTAAATAAATCAATATTTTTTCATTCTAAATCGACCATTTTTCTAGGAGACAGACTCATTTTATTTGTATATCCGGGGCATTGGCCACGTACATTTGGCAAATCGTAAAAATGTGAGCGCAGATGTGGTGGATATAGGATATTGGTAAGGAACCTCAGTTTTTCATTTAACGGATGCAGCGTCAGACATACTGCTTGGAAACCACATTGAATATATTGCCTGTGGTAACCCAGAACCCATTTCCTCAATCGTCTGCTGTAGACGATGAATCATCTTGTCACTGTGTCATCTTCTAGGCCTTAATTGGTAACAGAGCCATTGCTTCCTGTTTTCTCTTCTGCTTGTTTTCTTACATTTTAATTATTTAAAATTTTCAACGTATACGTAGTCTCTTACGAGTATATTACTCTGCGTTCTGCGAACACATATTACGGATGAAACCTAACTCACGTAGTATAAAGTATAGTGTAAGTGTAGTATAAAGGAATTGAAGTCTAGGGACCTGTGTGGATGATGTCATCATCTCATAAGGGATCATTACCTTAAAAATTGAGAACGTGAGGAGAATGTCATTCTGCTGTTAAAGAGACTACATCTACTGAAAACCCACAAAACATTTGCTGATAACAATTTCTTTAACAATCAGATTGAATTATGGTTAGTGTATTCACGAGGGTACTGACTACGTCATTTTTAAACTGTAATATAAAAAACCTCAAATCAGAATGAATCAGACTCGACTTAACCAAGAACCACTCGGCAGTTATTTTATCAAGCAACTCATAGAAATTTCAACTCAGATCGTTCCAAATGGGATTTATTTATTTATATGAAGCCAAAGCTCTGGAATGTATCCCCTTGTTTTCTTCTTTACGTAGTGGCTTATCAGTCAATATCTTTCACACAATTTATGAGAAATAATTTCAATAGTCCTCGAAATTTTTCCAAACTTCCAGGAACACAGGAACCATTTACGTTGAAAATATTTGGCATATTAACTTGTTTATTTTAGTCATATATCGGTTAATAAAATTGTGAGTGTGTTAGCTTGTATTTTTTTTATCATCGAAGAAACGCTTGTAGTCACTAGGTTATATAATCTGCATGGCCTTCAGTGTTCTCTATGATATGGTGGTTTAATAACGCGAAAGAAATGAGATTGTGAGAGAAGTAGAGCTGAACTAACTTTATCTGAAACGCCAAGGTATCAAGGTCAGACGGAATTTTTAACGAGTGCGTGTTGGGCACATGATATTTTAAATTTGTTATATATATATATAAGATATATAATATAATATAACTAGTGCATGCCTCACGATTCATCGATTTATACTTCGATCATTTCGGCTTGAACAGCTTGGCTCGAACCAAGCGCTTGGTTATCAAAATCAATAATCCGATTTTCATCCGGAGAAAAAAAAAAAAAAAAAATTTTTTAATTTTTTATCCGTTTATTAACATACACTGTATTTTATACAACACAGTAGTAAACAAGCTGCCCGCGCCAAAATAAGTCAAACTAGTAAACAGGGCCGTTAAACAAACACATACATTGGCACACACTACGCCCATACATGCCACGACGTTACGCACACGGCAGGCCATTCAAATCATCCCGAGTAACGATTGTTACCGATCAGTCGGCTTACTGGGTCCACGGTATGATTCGAATTACGACAATTACAACGATGTGAAACAATATTATATACACGATATATAGATTTTAATTACTTTTATGTGAGTCCATATAATATAGTTTGCGTGTCTCAGCCCCGGGCATTTATATATTTAACTACAATGATCTGATAAGTCTGTATTGAAACTGAAAATTTGCAAGAGTTAATAACATAAAGTGGACACTGGCGAGTCTTAGTAGAGTATGTGACATTAGTTCTGTACTCTGTTAGGTTCTCTCAATTAAGGTGCTGTAGTGAGATTTTTTGTTTTACGCTTGAATTGTGGCATTCTTCTTTGCTTCTAGCTTACTTTCGTGGCCATACCACATATCCCAC